AAGGACCTTTGTAGGGGTATGAATAATTGGGTCCCCTGACAAGCATTTACATTGCCCAAACGTCCGCTACAACATGGGCTAACAAGGACGCCTTGTTGTAGCTTGCTGACATTTTAAAAGGACATCTTGCCTGGGCAGGCAAAAAACAGAAAGCACTGCTATGATATGAGGGTTGATCACAAGGTCCTTCAAACACATTACATAGGATGACCATTGCGGCAAACCACAAAAAAGAACGGTTATATGTCCCATCACTCAATGGGACAAGCTACCCAGAAAAAAAATGCCGCCGGGAATATTGATCAACCCCAATGCACAGGCTCCCTCCCGCGGAATGGAGGAAACTGGAGGTCCAAACATGAACAATCAGCTTCCCTCTCGTTGGATTGGTTGTTTGGAGGCCAGGGGGTGGTTTCCCATTTGCCCTCTACAAGAACCAGGGGTTCAAATCCCCAAATCATCAATTCACATCAAAAGGGCTACCTGAAAAAAAGGAGAAAGCCCCCCCAAAAAACAAAAGAAAAAAACAAAAGCAGAAAGTAACGGCGCTTCAGCCATTTCCCGGGTCCCAAAAACCTGGGGACCTCCCACAGCTCCGATCGCTCACTCGCTCGCTCGACCAGTCTCTCCCTCGCCCCGCTCTCGCCCCATTCGCCCCGTTGGCCTGGCGGCTGCTGATCTGGTAGTACTCCGTCTGCTTGCTCACGGTGTTGTACCGCGCCTCGTAGCTGGCCTCAGCCGGACGCCGGACGCCAGGCACTGGCGCGAGCGAGCGAGGCGCGAGCGATCGAGAGAGGCGCGCTTTTAGCCACATCTGGAGTGAGCGAAAAAAGAAGTGTTGGGGAAAAAACAGGGACTGACTGGTGGGTTCAAACAATACACAGGCTGAAATGCTCATACACATATGATATTAGATTACCAAGGAGTGACTCCATTCTCAATTACCGGCCGACTGGGCTTTTGTGTGCTCACATGTTCAAAGGACCTGCACAGTGCTCAAGCGCTTCAAACAGAGAAGGAAGGGACTCATGATTCGATAGGTCTGTGATTTCAGAAAGTCAGGGGATCCATTTACCTGCATAGGGAACCAAGGGCTGCCACACCCGAGCACTTAGGAAAATGGCAAAGGGTCAGCTGCTGGAATCAACTTCCCTCTTGGTTTGGATTGGTGGTTTGGGGGTTTCCGGGTTCAAACTCAAATTAAACCACCAATCCAAAGCAACAATTAAGGGATACTTGCTATACGGGCACGCCGGATCTGGGAACGGAGATGCATGTGGATGTCTCCGAATTCATCTTGTCTGACCAAAGCTTCTCTGAGTTTCGGGTTCCCAACCGCTGGGAAGAGAATGCCCCCCCCCTTCCATACACTTTTGCCCTTGTCAGGGAAACTATACTTGAGGCAAGCCCTCTCGCTTTGCAATTCAAGGGCACCCAAAAGGACGTGCTCTGTTAAACAAAAACTCCAAGGTTAAAACAAAAGTCGTACAAGGTTAAGAAAAAAGCTCCAAGGTTAAACAAAAAAAACGTACAAGGTTAAAAAAGGGGCGCCTCTCAACATAGGCCCTTAGGAGAAACTCTCAAAATGGTCTTCGCACCTCGCAAATTCAGTCGGAAGTTCCTTCAGTCAGAGGGCCCGGGAACTGATCATGCAACGACTGGCAGATTTTGTGGTTGGCCCAATTTCCCATCGGCTTTCCCGGAATCGAACCCCTCGGCCCGGGTGGTTGTGACGTGACATTCACCTTTTGGGGCCACGAAAAATGCAAAAGAAACACAACCACAACTTTTGAAGGTCCTCCAAGTAGAGCGGATAGAAGAAGGGTACTTGTTTTTTGTTTTTTTCTTCTTCCGGTTGCCTATTTTAGTGGAGGAACTGGGGGACCTAGAAACAAGATCGTATTTCAAGTGGATTCGCGAGCCGAACAACTTTCACCCACACAGCCATGTGGCTCAAAAACATGTATAGCAAATTTGCACAAAGAGCGGTAAATGAAACCCAGAGACTAAAACAAACAAAAAACGCGGTGTGCCCAAAGGGCTCTTTGAGCCACAGCCACATGGCCATGGATTTGTCAAAAGCCAACTCGTAGCCCCAGTGAACATCCGATTCCAATCCACTAAAGGTTCATTGAAATGGGTTGTGAATTCACCAATCCCACCCAAAATGGGATCCCGTTTAACGGTTTTGACCGGCAGCCGCTGGGTTTCACTCCGCTCAAAAAAAAGATCGCCCTCGCCTCCTCAGTCTCCACTGGCTCCTTCTCATCCGGAGAGTCCCAGCCGGGGTCCGCCACCTCCACCCGTTGGAACCTGGGTGCGAACCCCACCGACCCGTGAGCTTTCAGCACGAGTCTCCATGACCCCTAGGAAAAGGGGGCATGACCCCTGAATTTTGGGTAACCCCATTGAGACTCTAGCTAGTACTCTGAGTACTGGACCCGAATGGCAAAACCATCTGCTGTAGGAGCTGGTTTGGGGGAGGTGTTTACGCACCGAAATTGGTACGTGCTCAAAACAATGCCTGCCTGCCAATGCCAGAATTGAGAAGCCTGGGTATAAAATTGCAATGTAAAGCAGGTCAGCCTTAGTTTTCAGTGCTTTGACTTTGCCTTGGGGTAAGGGCAACTCCAAATGAAAGGTATCCCTTCGGCCTCCCGTTTGTTTCCCCGTCAACCCCACTTCCTGAAGGAGATTCCCCAAAAATAAGGAAACAAGGAAACCGAACAGGTTTCCTTTTTCCCTTCTCAACCCCCCCGCAAAAAAAAGGAGAAAGTTCACCACTACACACAGAGTCCATGACATGAAACCACAGCCCTCATATGGGTCACAATTAAACCACGAGAAAAGAAGAAACAAAACAGCAAATACGCAGGTTTTGGGGCCATTTGTCCATTCACCGCCCGCAGCGTTGCCTAAATGTCTGCCCTAAGCAACCCAATGGGTCCTCGCCAATGGAAACTCTTCACTTCTCTCAAACTGGAGGAGCGCGGCTGGAGGCAAGAAATCGAAGTGCACAACCAGCGGACATATCTGCAGAATAATTAGCGCCCAACGAAGAAAAAACAAAACACACGTGGCAGCTGCTCGCCTTTTTCTCCAGATGTTCCTAGACTTGAAGAACCAAAACGCCCTGTTTTCAGGGACCCCGCGCTTTTTTTTGGACACATCGAGAGGAAAGGCGTCGCTCGAACACACGAACTTGACGTACCACGACTGTGCAAACAATGCTCCAAGCATTCTGATCGATGAAACCAGCAGAAAACCGGTCTGCCAGGTGCCCCTTTGTTTCCCAACCCAGGCAACCCATGTGTGTTTTGTTGATGTGAATCGATGTCCATGTGGTGGGTCAAAATTACAACACCAGGAAAACCGATGGTTTTAGTCCTGGGTGTCAGGCAACAGTGCAACCCATTTTGGGGTTCCCCTACTTTTGACCCACAGCCATGTTTGATGCACTCCATGACTACGTCCTCCAGTGGAGAGGTTAGAATATGGGTACTAACTTTTTTTGTAGTCTATTTTAGTAGGGGAACCTCCCCCCTAAAAAAAGGGGTGAGAAAGGGCACTAGTAAAAGGCCCAAATGATGCCCCCCCCCCCCCCCACCCGCGAATCTTCGCTGCCGGAAAGCTCCACCTGGCTCACCTTCACCGGCGTGAGGCACGAGAAGGACGGCGCCCTCAGCGACGCGAACCCGGCGCTTGGCCGGGCCACGCGCGCACGCGGCGCGTTTTTTTTTTTTGTTTTTTCCTCGCCGAAAACGAGCGGAAGAGAGAGGCGCCTTGCAGTGATACCCAAAGAGGATTCCCATGGCTTGATGGGACTTCAAGGATAAATGGGATTCCCATTCCCATGAGAGAGACAGGGGAAATGGACTGTGCCAGGTCTTTGAACCTCGGATGGAACCTGAAGGTCCAAGCAAGTTCGGGTAAATATATTCACCAACCTCCGAAAAGAAAAAACACCTTGCAGTTGTTGTTGAATCGCTGTAATAATCAAGGCTGCGGACCCCCCCAAAAAAAGGAGAACAAACAACTGAACCAGGCAAATTATGTTAATTCACTGACTGGAAATGACAAAAGTCTGATTTTGCCCCCGTCCACGCCAAGTATGTAAACCCTTGATTCAAACACTAACGAGAATGCCCATACGAAGCCCATGTAAGGCGCCTAACCGCTCAACACATCTACCTCAGATTTTACTCAGGTGCCAAACATGGGCCGATCGAGCGGACATACGACGGCCTCTGCCAAAATGATGAATCAACCAATCAAGAACCGAGCATCGCAGATCAACAGGCCGCAACATCTGTGACCACGACGGTCCTGCCACATGGCTATGGGTCAAAACCCAAATCGTACCCCCAATGAACATCCCAATCCAAACACTAAAATTGGTTCTAGAATGGGCGGTGAATTCACCTATCCCAACCAAAATGGGATCCCATTGGTCTTGACCCACGGCCATTGCAGTCCAGGGCGTCCCATCGACGGAAACCGCAAACCAGCCTCTGCATCACAGGTTCGGTCTCGGTGAGTGGCAGGACCTTGATGCTTGGCGCTTGCCACACACTGCAACGCCCAAGGAAAATCGGCGCCAAGCGCCGCTCGAAAAATGCGTCCCCCTTTCCGGAGCCACCCCCTGAAACATGTTGGAGGACATTCACAGTGATACCAAAAGTAGAGACATCACCAGAACTACTTTGTCGCTTCACAGGCGGTTCCCTTGGTATCACGGAACTTGGTCCCCAAAACCCCGTAACCATGTCTACTCCACAATCACGAAACCCTGCTTTCTCAACACCGGATCGCGTGTTTTCCCCCAAGACCCGATTGCTGTTCACTCTGCAAAAAGCTTCTAACTCTTTCTGGGCATTCGGGAAATCCATGTTGGTGTCCAAAGATCCGTTTCCTTAAATGGCCACAAAGCCATCTCTCCCAAGACCCGAAAAAAAATTGGGGAGCGGCCAACCCAACCCCAACCAGAGCTCTACAGTAGTCTACAGCTGCTCCTTACGCCCTCGACAAGTTTTGTACAGCACCTCTACAGCTCTATAGCTCCTCTGTAGCTCCTCTACAAGCTCCTCTATAAGTGCCCTTATCGTGCCTACGAATTTCCTTGTCGTTATTATTTAATTTTCGGTGTTTTTGTGCTTCTTTTTTCCCTCTTAATAAAAAAATAAAAAGGAACATTCCCCCCCAAAACAAAACAACAAACACCCCCCGCCCCAAAATAAAACAGAAGCAACACCCGCCCCCCCCCCCTTTTGCCCCTCCGAAAGCTTTCCCGCCGCCCTGATCCGCGGACTGCCGCCCTGCCGCCGCGGGGCCGGGGGGCTGCCGCGGCGCGCCAGAGAGGCTCTGGTGCCCGCGAGGCGGCGGGGGCGCCGGGCGCGGCGGTAGCAGATCCCCGCCAGCAGCGCCTCGAGACGCCGAAGGCGTCGGAGGCGGCGGAGGCGGCGGACGGACCGAGGTCGAGGGGAGGGGTGGTGGTTTTGATGGGTGGTGTGTATAAGATAAGTGGGGTATAAGAGGGAAAAGGTGGGTAGTGGAAGTGGGTATACGCGGGTATAGGTGGATAACTGGAGTGAACAAACCAAAAGGTAAGTGGAATAAGCAGACCAAAGGGTAAGTGGCAAGTGGATACACCAAGCGGAATGAGGCTTTTTAATGGGGTTGACCCAGTAATTTGGGGGATAAAGGTGGTTCAGCCGAATGGGGTTTACTGGGATCCCCTTGCAAGCCCGTAGTTTTCAAAACAAGGCCGCTGGAATATTTTGGGACCTGGACTATTGGGTCTGTGTTTTCCTAGCTTTAGCTGGCCCCACAACATGTTTCTTCCGTTCTCAGATCCTGTTCAATATTTCGCCAACCTGATCTAGAATCTTGTATGTGAAGACTCCACCCCTATACCCCTCCACACGTCCTCCCCCAAACCCCAAGGGCCCTTTGAACATTCACCCCCCAAGCTGCTTTTTGGACCTCGCAACCAAGCAAGACATAAGAAATCGCACGTCAAATCCGGGTGCCTCCAAAGCCCTACCAACCAAACCTCCCCAAATCCACCAACCAACCTGACAAACAACTACCTCCAAGGCAAAATGGTGTACTAAGCCCATAGCCACTACTTGGCAAAACTCGAAGTCTCCGGGTGCCAAATCCACCGCCCCAACACCAGAAGGAAGTCCCCACATCCACCAACCCCTCAGCCCGCCCGCCCGCCAAACGCCCCCCAAACCGCCCGCCATCCCTTGATTTGGACCCCATGCGGTCCTGGACATACGTGTCCTTGTGGAGGAAATAGATGGATATCCCTGGTAGATGAGGTAAACCAGGAATCGCCATCAATGTTTCGTCCAAAACCAGCAAAAAGGACCCCCGCACAGTCCTTGACCCTTGGTTGACCTTGGAAGGGGAGCAAAGATTTGCCAATTTTAGCAGTTCAGTTGTTGGATTTCAACCACTAAACCACCATAAGCAAAAATGTGTCCAATGTTTCCCAACAACAACGATTCCCTTTGAAGCCATCAGGGGAAAAGAACAAATATTCGTAACCAACTGGAAGGTGCGGTCCTGGACCCCCTCCAATTCCTCCGATTCATCTGGGCGCCCCCGACCACACAGCCCACCGTGGCGAAAAGCCAGGTGCGCGCCAGCCGCGGCTGCTCCTCGCCAGCGAGCGCGCGAGAGTCCAGCGAGTCCCCGGTGGGTCGTTCTAATTCGAGAAAATCCAGGCCATGGTTGGGTTCAAAAAAGCTGAATCGGCTTCCCCCCCAATCCGTGTTTTGGATTTGTGGATTAGAGTTGGGTTCAACAAAAAGCTGAATCAAGTTGATTGAGTTGCAACTTGAAGGTATATCCTGATTTGCTACAGGCTTTGTCCGTGGTTGAAGGGATATCCTGGATGCAAGATTCCCAGGACTTGAGTCTTGGAATGTGGGATCTGTGATACAAGCGCTTTGAAGTGCTTTAAAGCGCTTTGTGGGCCCCAAATTAGATTTGAGTGAATTGCGAACTTCGATTCATTTTTGGGGCGCCATGATCCATTTTGAAGATAAGGTCACTTAGCCACCAAAAGAGGCTGGACCTAATCTATCATGGGGTAATCAAACATAGCTGTGCATCAAAAACACATGGTTCCCAAAATGCCACAAAGAGCGGTAAATGGAACGAACCAAAGACTCCAACCAGCGGTTTGCCCTAGCTCCGTCATTTTGAGCCACAGCCAATATACTTCCATTTGCTTAAGTCCCCTTGAAAAAAAACAACAGTAGTGATAGATTCCCTTTAAAACCAACAGGGGGAAATGAAAACATATGATGGGTGTGGCTCAATTTTTTAAACAGGAGGGACAAATCGCAGGTGTTGGTCCATGTTTCAACTTACCAGGGCAACCCATTTTGGAATTCCGGTTTCTTGAGCCACAGCCATATTATTTTCAGCGAATAAGCAGGGGGAAATAAAACAGGAGGATTCTTAAATATGTTTAAAATCAACAGGGGGAAATAAAACATAGTATTCCCTTTAAAACCAACAGGGGAAAACATATTCTTAAGCAAATGAAACAAATTTCATGGGGACAGCGACTTTTCTTCGCTCCTCGTGCTTGATGTGTAGCAGCTCCTCCGCTGCGTGCTCGGCCTTGATCCTCGGTGCAAGCCGCGTGAGGCTTCGAGGGTGGCTTGGGGAGGGGTTGGAGGGGGGGGGGGTGGAAGAGAGGTTCGGAAGAGTTCAGTCTTGTTTTGTTTTTGATCTTGTTGGGAGGGGAGGGGAGCTGCGGCTTGGGTGCGGGCTTTGGGGGGGGGTGTCCGGAAGGACCAACTTCTCCAAACCTGCTCCTTGCCTTCTTCAAACTTCTCCAACCCGCTTTCCGCTTGATCCCCATCCGACCATAACCGACTGCTCCACTGAATAATTGTCCCCTTTTGCTAGCCTCCAAAATGGGCGTTGACATAGTTTCTGAGGTCCTGGTCGACTCCATCCAACATGACCACCTTCTCTCACTGAAGGAATTCCATACCTAGTCTTCATCCCACAGAGAACCCACTGGTTCCAACTGGTTCTTGCTTCCCATGTACTCCTCAGTTGCCCAAAGGACCCGTTTGGATTTTTACTAGCTCCTCCAGTAGAGAGGTCAGAATATAGGGTACCTTCTTTTTGCTGTAGTCTATTTTAGTAGGGGAACCCTCCCAACAAAAAAAGGGGTGAGAAAGGGCACTACTGGGGGACCTAGTTTACACAAAATGGCCCAACAATGGGAAACCGCAAGGTCAAAGGGTTGGCTTTGGGCAAGTGAGGCTCTCCGCCCTTTTTTGAGAGATTTCTGAGACACCCGGCACAGTCTCGTCCACCTCCTTGTTCACCTCTTTCAGCTCGTTCATGATGCCGTGGCCCATGCTTTGCAACTGCCTGGCAAAAGGTAGGAGTCCAAGTCGGGAGACAACTCCGACCCCCTTCTCCCCCCCCAAAAAATACCAACGGACAACCCCTTCCCCCTTCCCCCCCCCCAAAAAAAAAAACAAAAAAAGCGAGTGGTGTCCCTTGAAGCCAACCTGGAGGCCACCGGCCGGCCTTTTCCATTGCGAAGTGAGATCCGATCGATCGGTTCAGTTCGTCGGCCTGAAAAAGGTCCAAAAAGGGCACTGGCAAGCGGGTGCTAGCACCAGCTTGCCAGCTGGTCCAAGGGCCAGAAGTAAAACGTGCACCTGGAGTCTCCTTGTGACCCTGAAAAAAGGAGTTGGTCAGTACCCAAAATTAAGGGGTCATGACCCCTTAGGGGTCGTGGAGACTCCAGGCAGATGTGATCTGTTTCTGCTGGTGGCCAGCGGAACCAAGCTACGGACTCAATGCGAACGGCGGACTCTGACAGGCTCCCCAATACGAAAGATGAAATGAGACGAAACCGCCCCAATCTCCGCCCAAAATGGAGTAAACCCCATGGACTGCACCAGTTTCAAGCCAAGGGCGTGCCTTCTTCTAGGAACCCCCCACCCCCAAATCGTGGTGCCACCAGGCTGGTGCCCATTTCAACCAAGCCAAAAAAGGGCACCAACTCAGCAAAAGACACCCCCGCCCCTCTTTTCCAAAATCATCAAAAACAGCACCATGTTGGGTTTGTTGTTTAATAAACAAAAACACATCTGTATTGGGTTGCTTTGCTTGCTTTAAAGAACCCCATGCGCCCAACCCAATGGAATATGTATAATATGTATCTATATATATATATGTACAGAAAAGAAACACCGAATAAACAAAAAAAAACAGACAAACAACAAAAAGAAAAGACAAACAACAAAACGAAAAGACAAACAACCAAAAGAAAAGGAAAAAACAGACAAACAACAAAAAGAAAAGACAAACAACAAAAAGAAAAGACAAACAACAAATAGAAAAGACAAACAAGAAAAAGAAAAGACAAACAACAAAAAGAAAAGACAAACAAAAAAAAGAAAAGACAAACAACCAAAAGAAAAGACAAACAACCAAAAGAAAACACAAACAACCAAAAAGAAAAGAAACAACACAAAAAGAAAAGACAAACAACAAACAGAAAAGACAAACAAGAAAAAGAAAAGACAAACAACAAAAAGAAAAGACAAACAACAAAAATAAAACACAAGCAACAATAAGAAAAGACAAAAAACAAAAAAGAAAAGACAAACAACACAAAGAAAGGATAAACAACAAAAAGAAAAGACAAACAACAAATAGAAAAGACAAACAAGAAAAAGAAAAGACAAACAACAAAAAGAAAAGACAAACAACAAAAAGAAAAGACAAACAACCAAAAGAAAAGACAAACAACCAAAAAAAAAAACAAACAACCAAAAATAAAAGAAACAACACAAAAAGAAAAGACAAGCAACAAACCGAAAAGACAAACAACAAAAAGAAAAGACAAACAACAAAAAGAAAAGACAAACAACAAAAAGAAAACACAAGCAACAAAAAGAAGAGACAAAAAACAAAAAAGAAAAGACAAACAACAAAAATAAAAGACAAACAACAACAAAAAAGACAAACAACAAAAAGAAAAGACAAACAACAACAAGAAAAAAACAACAACAAAAATAAAAGACAAACAACAAAAAGAAAAGACAAACAACAAAAAGAAAAGACAAACAACAAAAAGAAAAGACAAACAACAAAAAAAAGAAACAACACAAAAAGAAAAGACAAACAACAAACATAAAAGACAAACAACAAAAAGAAAAGACAAACAACAAAAATAAAAGACAAGCAACAAAAAGAAAAGACAAACAACCAAAAGAAAAGACAAACAACCAAAAAAAACACAAACAACCAAAAAGAAAAGAAACAACACAAACAGAAAAGACAAGCAACAAACCGAAAAGACAAACAACAAAAAGAAAAGACAAACAACAAAAAGAAGAAAAGACAAACAACAAAAAGAAACGACAAACAACAAAAAGAAAAGACAAACAACAAAAAGAAAAGACAAACAACAAAAAATAAACAACACAGAAAGAAAAGACAAACAACCAACAGAAAAGACAAACAACAAAAATAAAAGACAAACAACAGAAATAATGAAAATACAAAAAACAAAAAGAAAAGACAAGCAACAAAAAGAAAAGACAAACAACAAAAATAAAAGACAAACAACAAACAGAAAAGACAAACAACAAACAGAAAAGACAAACAACAAACAGAAAAGACAAACAACAAAAAGAAAAGACAAACAACAAACAGAAAAGACAAACAACCAAAAGAACAGACACACAACAACAAAAAAAAACAAAAGGACAAAAACAAAAACACGAGACGCCGCCTCCGCGCGGTTTTTTTGGGTCCGCCAAAGCTCCGCTCCGCGCCTTGAGGCCGCCCGCGCCGAGTCCGCCGCCTGCTGCCCGAGGCGCTGGGCCTCGCTCTTGGCGCGCCAGAGCGTCTGCTGCGCCAAGACGTGGGGCGCCACGTCCTGCGCGGCCGCCGAGAAAAAGACGAGCGGTTCGGCCCCGAGTGGTGGAGTGGGTGGAGTTTCTGGGAGTGGGCGGAATAATCGACTTGGTGCCAAAGCAAAGTGGCTCATCAAAATCGGATCCTTACAGTGAAAACACCTGACACATTGCAACTCTTACATTATACACCTGAACAAGTGGCGGTGTCCCTGGAGTTTTGGTGGAAAAAGCAACATGTTACAAATGGCTGCAAAATGTATCTTTTAAGCTGCCCTGCCGAAAAATGGGTAATCAAATCAGTGGAACCCCTCCAATTTTTAAACAAACCAGCCTAGAAAGGACACCTATGCCTCTTGAAGAGGCATTTCTAGGGGAACCTTCCTCGTTTCGCCTGGGATCCAACCTCTTTCTGGGCTTTGCGTCAAACTTCACAGGACGTGAGGGAACCCGTCCCATTCTTGCCAGGGATCGTTCTTTCTAGAAAACCGGACAAGTAGGGAAAGGGCCGGCTGCTTTTCCACACTGGCTCAGTTGCGAACCCAGTCCTGGCCCACCCACTGCCGCAACCTAAGCGACAGGCCGCAGGCTCGGGACGAGGCGTTGCTTGGGTTTCTGAACCCGTCCAGGTAGCAAGGCACACCCCAATCTCCCCAGAATCAACCAGTGAGAAGCACTGCATCCATGCCAATTGTGTCTTTTTCAGTGCACCCCCGCAACAAAACAAAAGGTTTCCTCTGGGTTTCCCTTTCAACATTTATGAAAGTTGAGGTTCAGGGGGTTGGCCCCAGTGATGAATCCAACCAAACACGTCACATTTCACACCCTCAAACCAGGGCTTCTGCTTTGCGGGGTTCCAAATTCTTGCCTCACTTCACACGAAACCATGGGCGAAATGGTTCAAAAATAAACAAGGAACATGGATTCCCCGATGCTTCCCCTTCAAAAAGGCCCTGTGCCCTCCCCAAGACATGAGAAGGAAAACGGTCTTAACTGGGATCTTCACGTTCCGTTTCAGGAGGCTCTCTGCCCAAACAGCAGCAAATTGTTGCTCCCGCATGCAATTGCTCTGCGGCATTAGCGTTCAATGTGTTGCTGGGAAACGTGTGACTTTCCAAAAATGTCAAAGATCTAAGCAATTGAGGGGGTATCCCCCAAGCCAAGGATATGCCCTTACGGTCTTACTAAGGGTTTACTGGATTATAGGCCCTCTCCCTTCCCGGCCCTGAAGGTCCGTGATTCGTTGGAGCAAGACACGGCCAAAGCCGTAACGTGCGCAGTGCAACACGTTTGGACTCTTGTTTTGTTTGTAACAACATTGTGGATTTTAATTATGTAATGCATCTATGCTTCGGCTGAAGTGCATGTCGTCATTCTTAGCAGTGCCACTTACTTGTCCAAAAGGACAAGTAGTGCTGCCCTCTCCGGAAAGTTGGCTTGGCTTTCTCGGAGGTCACGAATCACTCGCGCGACCGGGGCCCCCACTGCTCCCTCACCGCCGGGATCTCAGCGGCTGCTGCCGCCAGCACCGGCACGGCCTGACGTCGACATGGGGCATTTCCCCCATTGGATCGATTCACCAGTATAGTAAGCAAGCAAGCAAGCAAGCCAAGGCAAGGCAAGGCAAGGCAAGGCATGCAATAAAGCAACAAACAAACCTGCATTGTTCTAACAACTCCTAACCCTGAAGCAAGAATGGGCGCTCGAAAAACTTAGCAACATACTACTAACGTCGTACGTGCGAATGCTCGCCACAACTTATGAACCTACAATCAAATACATTTCTCGCAGTGCTCCCCGTCACCAGTATAGCTGGTGACAAAGGCTTCTCTAAGATTAGGCGCTATGGGTACTACCATGTTGTGCTTGTACTCATGACAATCTACAGTTGTTCAAGCACCCCACAACTCAGTTCTGACGAGTTAGGCCCTTGTGATACATTTCACCCGGAAACACCGAAACATCATCTCGTGCAAACAGGAACTGCCAACGTCTCTCGCTTACGTCGTGAGTTGGTCAGCAACAAACCCCTGGACTTTCTGTTTGCCGCTATGCTCTTCTCAAAACGCTTGAAGTCCAACTGGGGAAGGTATTGGACACCCCGGACATCACTCCACGTTAAGGTCCGATGCCCCACTTCTGGTCCCACCACTAAACTGTCTTCCACAAAAACATAAACTTAGGGAGTGAGATGCCTATAGAATCCGGACCAACACGATGCCCTGACAATATCTACCAATGCCAATATCTATATAATGATATGTATATATGTATATCTGTAGCATAAGTAAAATGATATATGTATAAACATATACACTTACACACTATACTGCAACGCAACACAATACAACAAAAAACACATCAACACATCCCACAACGAAAAATAATAGCAACCCCCCCCCCCCCCCTCCCGGCCGTCAAATCCCCTGTTTTCCCTGTTGTCGCATTGTTCTTCCTCCACCCAAATTCTTGCCTTCAACGCCTCGTTACATCTGATTTCAGGCGCGGCGCCCTGAGCACCCAAGCCAGCCAGCTCCGACCCCCAGCAAAGAGCTCGCGGTGCCCAAGAACCCTTGGTTGGGCTCGATCCATTCTGTATGGTTTCTAGGTCCTCCAGTAGAGAGGATAGAATAAGGCTACCAACTTTTTCGGTCTATTTTAGTAGGGGAACCCAAAGCCAACCAAAAAAGTGGTGAGAAAGGGCACCTAGCTGGGGGACCTAGGTTTTGGATTCAGCTACAACTCCTCGCCTCCAGAAAGGCAAACTTCCATTCGCTTAAGCCCCGTTGAAAAAATATATAACATATTTCCAGTGATAGATTCCCTTTAAAACCAGCAAGGGGAAAAACAAAACATGTTCTTCAGCAAATAGATGCAAAGGCACCTTTCTGGCGCCTCACCCAACCCCTCCGCTCTCCGCTCCCCGCTCGCACCTTCATGGCCGTCTTCGCCTGGGCCTTTGTCAGACCCTTCGTCTTGCCCAAGCGCACCTGCGGCAGCCGCAGATGCGGCATGCGCCAACGCTTCTCCTACGCGGAGTTCCGGCGAGCAAAGAGGTCCTCCCTTCAACCCAACATCTTGCTGTGTTTGAAGCAGACGGAAGCCCAATGAAGCCAACCAGAATGGTTCTCCCCTCGGTTTTACAAATATTGCTTACGTTTTTTGTTTGGGGGTATGAGATAAAAGCGTCCATTAAACTTGAGGGCGATAAAGAGCGGCACCTAGGTAGAACATTGGTCCCACCGAAGGGAAACCCAATGACACCACAATGTTAGTTATCCCCTTGTTGTTTATCAACCCGTGGATCAACCAGTTGCAAGCAAGGTAGATAAGCCAGAGCGTCCGATCGTTTACTCCAGATCCCAGGTGCGGGAAAAGAGGCTGGCTTAAAGGGTGGGGAACTTGTTGATGACCTACAAAACAGGAAAATGGAATCGCAGGGTGCAATTATTTGGGGGGGGGGGTCATCTAGGATGCCGCAAATACAACGTAAAGGGTATACACAGGTAGGACTCGGTAAAGCCTCAAGTTGGTCCCCCCGAGATACGCCGATACACACAGAAGCACCATTGCTATGGGTGCGTCTTGTTTTTTTTCTGGGAAACCCTTGTAGAGGGAAACCAAACGCAAAACAACCATTTTGGGAGGTCCACCTCTTCGTGTTTGAAAGCACAGGCAAACAGAAATCCAAGTGCTTGTGTTGAGTCTTGATTCCTGCTGTCGGCAAAGCCATGAAAGCCCGACTTGCACTTGCTCGACCCATTTGAGCTCGGCTCCCTTTCATCCACAAGTACAGGAGTGTGCCCAGAAAAAGTAAGCGAGAGCATATGAGCATTGTCGGGTTGGGGAGACGCACGCCTCCCTTGCAACAATCAACGGGAATGGAGGCCTTCAAAGACAGCTGGGCCTCTGTTCATTAGCAGCTGCAAAAAAACTCGCACTTACCCCAAGATTGTTTTGCCAAAGAGAACCTCCATCTGGCTGTTGGCCAATACCGCCAAAACAGATCGAAATTGGCTCAGCAAACACCTGCATGCAATGGTCCCGAAGGAGACCGTTTCTGTGTCACTAGAAACCTTGAAGCCCTTCAAATCAAAATCAGCACAGTTCAGCTGATCACCCTCACAGTGGAACGAGACGAGCAATGCTGCTAGGGGCCGAAGAAAGACAAAGAGCCAAACTCCCACAACACAAGCCAAGATCTGCATGAGAGGCACTCCAGCAATGTCTACGTCCTCCAGTAGAGAGGTTAGAATCAGGGTGCCCTTTTTTCTGTAGTCGATTTTACTAGGAACCCTCCCCCAAAAAAGGGTAAATGGGCACTACTGGGGGACCTAGATGTGGGTAAGCACTTTTTGACCATGGGCTTGATCCTCCCGAGCTCTGCGCCTCAACTTGACCAGCCAGAACCCACCAACGCGCGAGGGGGGTCCGTTTCTTTGATGATGGACAATGCAACATATTCAGAAACAACGGTGATTGGGATATTCTAATTCCCATGGTAGCGGATTTCAAGACATGCACCAAGGCCACCGTGCAGTGGACACATTTGGTCTGTGCAGTGACTCACGAGGAGGTCTCCTTCACGAAAGGAACGTCCAAGACTACGCCATGGTCTCAGGAGTCTAACGTTGCGGACGAGGATACCCCATGGCAAGTAACGAACCAAAAGATTATGCTTGACGTCGATGAAGGTGAGCAGAAGTGCTTGTGGCAGTGGACCCTCAAGCTCCACGGGCCACCAGGCTTGGGTGATGTTCAGACGGGTGATGAATTTGTGACCACGTCCTCGCCTTCCATTGAGCCTCAATGCCTCCCTGGCTACTTCGACCTGAAGGATTCTGAGATGCAGACGTGTACAGACGATAGCAGCCGATAGCAAACATTTGTAAGCCGAGGGGCCGCCGGCAAAAACGATTTTCAGTTTCAGTTTCAGTTTCTTTTCGCGTTCTTTTTGCGAGCTCGAAGGAATGCGTGACACACACGAGCTTGTGTTCTGTTGGCGGCTTCGCTCGCCGACAAAGCAGGTTTAGCACCATGACCTGAGTTTCAGAGTCAAACACCTGCTTATTTCCCCGTTGCGCAACTGAGGCTTGGCAGGAGCAAGCATCCATGGGATCCACATAGCGAGAGAGAGAGAGAGGAGGAGACCAAGCGATAGGATACCGATCGTCACAGCACGACGTTGTGTCCATGATGACTTGGGTGAGACTTCCAAGAGCTCGGTATCCGAGCCGTGGATATCCATCTCCTCTTTGGTCACGTCCATGTTGGGAAGCTCGGAGTCTTAAGCTCTGGCTCACAGAAATCATGGTCAGCACAACCTCCCAATTACGCTGTCGCAGAACGTCAGCCTGGAACTAGACTGAACTAGGACTAGAAGAACGAGCTATTAGTGAGCACGGCATTGGTTTCGCTTTTCGAGCAAACAGCCCTTCGGTCTCCAAGGGAACAACATGCTTGGCTTCCTCGTGGTTCTCTTTCAAATACTGCTGCAAGAGGTAGTGTTGACCCAGGATTGATCAACCTGTCCCATTATTAGGGGGGTGTTCCCTCCACAAGTGATGAATCCCCACTAAAAGGGGACACCCCCCTATTAATCAACCAGGGGCTTATTAATCCGGGGTTAACATTACTCTCAAAAATGCCACGCCCAAATTTGTTCTCTGAAGGGAGCGGGTCCTGAGCCTTGTCATCCAGGTAGAGGGAATAGCCTGAGTCGCGAGCACGCCTGGTGTCTTCTCCCGCAACGACGCCAAGCATTGGGAGTGGGCAATGCGAGTATCGGGACCTTGCCATACGCGGAAATGAATTAGAAGGCACTCGCGTCCTGCGTTCGAAATATGCGTTTGCAACAAATAACTCTGTCTATTCATTTGGCTTGTCTCTTTTTTGCGCCTGTAGCTTTGATGGCGCCATCCACGCTGCGCCGGCTGCGTTCGTTATCTCCTAAGGCATTTTCAAAGAGTGCTCCAAAGCCCAACTGAAGCACAAAGTGCTCGAAATATTACCTCAAGTCACAGGGGCGGCAGGCACAAAGCTTTCGGTTGTGCAAGCTCTAGGTCAAAATCACGTCAGAAACGGCTGGCACAAATCTGCGCCGTCCCTTGCTGGGAATGGCCTGATGCCACTTGCGTACTTTGAATGGGAGTCTCCGAAAGCACGAGGGCTTGGGTTCCCCATGGCATGTTTCCCAGTTCCAGTAAGGACCCATGCGTGCTGAACTCTACGTGCTACACTGGTTCCTCTTAACATGGGTTGGAACCCCCCAAACTGGCAGGTTTCTTTTTGGTGTCCTTTTAAACCAACCCAAAAAGGGTCGTGAGCCTCAGCAAAAAGGCGAGCCACCCACATGATGATTTGCCAGTGTTGCCTACAAAGGTAGCGGGAAGCACCAGTTTGCCTTTTTGTCCCGACAAACTAACAAGGCTTCAAGCCGCATGCCCGGTGTAGCTCAAAGACTGATCTGAGGAGAGTTCGTTGACCAGTTCTCGGAGTACGTAGTTGTTTTTCTTGCTGGGGCTCAGTTAATACGGGAATGAACCCAGGAACCCCCTTAAAGGAAACCACAAGGCGGGGTTTGTAGGGGTCATTCCCTCATTCCCTGCTGAGCACCACAACAACACACAAAAAACAAATGCAAAGCTCCGACATACAAACTCCAACACTATCAGGGGGCTTCGTAGCAAGGGCAGCCTCCCCTGATGCATGCGGCCCAAGCACTTGAGCGACTGTACAGCCCGGTCCCCCTAGGACCCCACCCTCTTGCATGCTCAACCCGCCTGGTAAGCTGATATATGTAAACCAAGCAATCTTCTCCCACAATCTACTTCCCAGCAAGATCCTTAACAAAAGGGCCAAAGCCAAAATAGACGACAACTTTCAGCCGGGCAACTGAAGTGGTCCAGCTGCCCACTGCTGGGCACCGGCGGTGTCTCTGTGAGTGCTGCCGCGGGCGCTAGCAGCACCTCAGGCAAGCGCGGAGGGATTCGTCTCCCAAAAGCGAGCGCGGTGGAACTTTCGAAATTTCGGGGTCACTGGATTTCCTCTTCGAAGGTTGCGATTTATTGGTGGGTGTCCAAAGGATATTGCCCCTTGTTGGAGGTTGCCAATAGGAATGCCGGTACATCCGCAGCTTGAAGCAAATATCATGAGGGACATGTGCGGTATGAGGTTCCATCTAATTAAGCTAATCTTCAAGGGCAACCATGGGAAACCCATGAAACGGGTTTCCCATGGTAGGTTGATGTGGACGCGCCCTATACATTCAGAGGCCCTCCGAAAAGGCCCTTTGACCCGTCATGTCAACCGCGTACGAAGCTCATAAGGTACGAAGCTATGGGACCTGACCGGAAAACTTTGCCATCGCCGCGCGCAACATGTGCTCGACAAGCCTTTTGAGATGAAGACTTCAGTGGAGAAAGGAATCCCTTCTCTGACTTCGTTTATTTGATACCAACTTTTTCTATCGCCGCACTTTCGCCAAACTGGAACTAGGCGATTCAATCGCCTGCCAGCCAAGGCGCCAAAGCGATGGCCGCCAACATGATGCGGATAGGTTCGGCGCACAATGAACTTCGGAGACGCAGGCGCAAGAGCACGTGAGAAGTGACAGATCGATCTACGCTGACGAACTCGCAGATCTTTTATTTTTCCGGAGACCAAGACCTCTAAGTTCGAGCCGGTCGGGCGGCAGCGGGGGCCAAAGTCGCATAGTGGGAGTGCGCAAGTCAGAGGGAAATTGCGTTTTGGGGGGTGGGCGAACCGGAAACGGACAGGATCTGCATTGCAAATAATTCACCAAAATCTTGGGTTGTTCGCAGAAACCTTTCATGGGATCCTAAATCGTTCGCAACCAAACTCAAGTATTTGCGAGGTCACGATTTCATTTGTCCAAACGCAACTCACTGCGCGGTGCAAGGACAGCCCGCCCGCGAATCATAGCTTTTGGCTCATGGTCACGGCAAGTGCCCAGAAAGCACAAGGACGGGGAAAGGCTGCTATGCAAAAGGTGTCAGCAGGGGCGGATGTTGAATGGACCTCTTCTGATTTTCCATTGCCATACCTGAAGGTAGCTAGGAAAAAAAATGCAGTGCCAAAGGAGAAACGCAGATTGCACTGAGCCTAGCTCCGTTTTTTTTGGCGCAGCCGTCGGGACCATGGTGGTCAGTTACATGCAACATGCAAGTTGCCCCGCCAGGCATCCTCCTTTTCCAAGCCCTGAAGCCTGTGGTCCCTTCGGGCAGTTTCTGGGCTCCGTGTGTTTCTATCTGCTTCGCAACGCCTACCGGACTGGCCGGACCAACCAAAACGTGGGAGGCGGGTGGATCCTCCAGGAAGGAGCTGACGTCGTAGGTGACCTAAGCCATCGGATCCAAAGTCGGATCCAAAGTGGTCGGGTCAGCTGGCGGAAGTCGGTAGGGGAAACCAGTGGCCAGAAGGAAAAACAACTAATCAACTCCAGCTTCTGGTGAAATCTGAAACCTCTTTCGCCCAACCTCAACTTGCTGGGTTCTGCCCAAGGAGTTTTCCCACGCCGTGGGCATTGGGCACGTCAAAGATGGCGATCTGGAGTCGACCATAAAGGTGGAGGAGTAAAGAATCCTCATGCAGGATGTTAGGGCACCCTTGTTAATTGACTGTAACTGGGGTCGTGATTTTGACTGTTTCTGGGGGTAAAGTCAGAAACCGGGGTTGTTGTTCCCTTCAAGCCATCACTTTAGGGGTGACTTTGATAAAGGGAAACTCATGAGGCCAATGTTTTGTCCTTTCTTCCCGACGCATGTGCAGGTGGTTCGAAAACGCGCTTTGCGCCGACTCATGTCGAATGGTTTTCTCGGGGCGCCACGCCGTGGATAATCAGCTCGCAGCGCTCCTGACGGGCGCGCAATTTTTGACTGGGTATTAGGTTTTCAATTGGGCACCCCAACAGAAATCTGACCCATGGGAGATTTGGTGCTCGCAATGTTGCTTGGCACACAGAAGGGAGGTGTTTTTTTCAGTTGGGCACCCCAAAAGAAATCACTAAACAAAGA